ATTCAGTGACTTGAAATTGGCTCTATAAATGTGAAAACGCTGGAATTTGGAATTAAATAACAGTTGTATAATATATCAAATATAGACACAGAATAATCATTGAAAACCAATGAGGAATCATTCGAAAGAAAATGAATATAAAATAAGCATGAAATTTGGCTAATTTACTGATAACAATAAATTTCCTCTCCTCCCACCACGTGCCCAATCTCTCTCGCCAATCTCCCTCCCTCCTACTGGTTAAATAACAGGGGTGTCTGGTCTCTCTAGCTGTGGTTGGCAAAGAGAAAGGTAAACTCTGAATTCAAAACCATATGTAGCCCTATCGACATAATTCGGAATATCGTTCTCATTTTTGTTGCCATATTTATCACAACGTTTCGGCCGTTGTACGCTCCGGCCTTCTTCAGGTGGTTGGAATGTCGAACTGAACCCTTTATTTCGCTCGCTGGGTTAGACTCTTTATGTTCCACTTCTAATGGATGTCAGTTATCTGTTATCTCCTGTTAATTACCTTTTCCAAGTTCTCCACTTCCTTAACCAGGTATTGAAATCACAACTCTTTGGGTCCTGTCATTGGATTTAACTAACGCCTTTATCCAATATGCCATTTGTCCTTAAGGAAATATAGACACATATGAAGCCCTATAGTTGCAGCTACCGACATGATCATGGCGTTCACAGACATTTTATAATCTCGACTGCAGTCGACCTACGATTTCTTTTTTATTATCATTTCTTTCGTTTTAATTGTAATTGCTTACTGTAGCAACTACTCAAAGTGTCTCTTTACGGCTGTTAGTGAACAGCGTAGATTAAACGTGCCTTGACAATGGAAGGAAGTTATAATGAAAAGCAAATGAAATTAACATGAAAGAAATACTAATAAGAAAATTCATTTAATAATAACGTTAAAATTTAAGATACGTCTAACAAAAAGTGAAGTTATAAGCTTTCCAGAACTGGTGTTTGCGACAGGACTTCGAACATCGGGAATCAAAGTTGAATAATAAGGTTTCTAGTCCGACTTGAGACGCTAGAGTGAGTTGCGCCTAATGTACCTTGAAGCATCCACCTATTAAAAATAAGAAAACGTATACAAAAAACGGAAACTCTTAACTGTGAATAATTACGTACTCATGCGTTTTTTTTTTCAGTCTCAACATGCTCATTAGTCATAATTTGCCAATAATGCCAATGGATATAGCAACCACTCTGTTATTTACACAATTTACATGGTTTGGACCATTGTCGTCATCTTTATTGTCACAATCACGACGTTTCGGTCGTTGTACACACCGGCTTTCTTCAGGTGATATACGTTGGAATTTCGAACCGAACACTTCATTTGGTCCGCCGGGTCGACTGCTCTAGTTCCACGTGCCATGACTTTTCTGGATGTCACAGTTTCAGTAATATCTCTTTAGTAACTCAACCCCACATGGCCCAATGGCTGACACGTAATGAATATGATAATAAAGATTAGAATATAAATAGTTAAATTCCCAGATCAATTCTGTGGACAAGACAAATTCGTATAAGTTGACAACTGGAAAAAAAAAACAAGAAAAAAACAAAAACATTGCCGACATGGAAAGAAAAAACAAGCAAAAAAGAAATTTACATTAATCAGAAAGAGGTGTACGCAGAAGCGTCTCTTTTTTTAAAATTTGGATTTTATAATGTAACTATAAAAACAAACACATTTTCGATTTCATTTTTGGCTTGAAAAAGTCGGAATCCGAAGCACGTCGACAAAAAACTAAATTTTTTTTTCCAGTTGTCATTTTATACCACTGTAAAGTGTGTAAATAGTTACAATACCTCATCTCAGAAATATAGACAGATATTGAAGGATAGGTACGGACCCGATATACCGAAAATATGGAGTCAATTAGAAAAGGCAATAAAGATCAGGATAACAGTCCGAACAATGTAAATAGTGTAAATAATTACAATACCTCATCTCAGAAATATAGACAGATATTGAAGGATTGGTACAGACCCGATATACCGAAAATATGGAGACAATTAGAAAAGGCAATAAAGATGAGGACAACAGTCCGAACAATGTAAATAGTGTAAATAATTACAATACCTCATCTCAGAAATATAGACAGATATTGAAGGATAGGTACGGACTCGATATACCGAAAATATGGAGACAATTAGAAAAGGCAATAAAGATGAGGACAACAGTCCGAACAATGTAAATAGTGTAAATAATTACAATACCTCATCTCAGAAATATAGACAGATATTGAAGGATAGGTACGGACTCGATATACCGAAAATATGGAGACAATTAGAAAAGGCAATAAAGATGAGGACAACAGTCCGAACAATGTAAATAGTGTAAATAATTACAATACCTCATCTCAGAAATATAGACAGATATTGAAGGATTGGTACAGACCCGATATACCGAAAATATGGAGACAATTAGAAAAGGCAATAAAGATGAGGACAACAGTCCGAACAATGTAAATAGTGTAAATAATTACAATACCTCATCTCAGAAATATAGACAGATATTGAAGGATAGGTACGGACTCGATATACCGAAAATATGGAGACAATTAGAAAAGGCAATAAAGATGAGGACAACAGTCCGAACAATGTAAATAGTGTAAATAATTACAATACCTCATCTCAGAAATATAGACAGATATTGAAGGATAGGTACGGACTCGATATACCGAAAATATGGAGACAATTAGAAAAGGCAATAAAGATGAGGACAACAGTCCGAACAATGTAAATAGTGTAAATAATTACAATACCTCATCTCAGAAATATAGACAGATATTGAAGGATAAGTACGGACTCGATATATCGAAAATATGGAGACAATTAGAAAAGGCAATAAAGATGAGGACAACAGTCCGACCAATGTAAATAGTGTAAATAATTACAATATCTCATCTCAGGTATCTCCTCGCCAAGTCCTACAGGCTTCATTCGTTCGAAGTCTCTTTTAATTATTGAGCTGGGAAAGAGGCTGTATGCAGCGCTTTAGATATTTCTGAATGGGTCTGAATAATAATAATAATAATAATAATAATAATAATAATAATAATAATATGGTTGGCCATCGAACTGTAACATATCAATCAAGGAATTTTACAAAAAAAGTAACTATCGAAGCATAAAGACATGGAAATCGAAATAGAAAAAATCTGGAAATCCCAGCTTAAGAGAAATAGAAAAAATTATCTTGATAAGTACAGCAGACTAAGAAGAAGTTTGTCCATGTAACGCTAGTTATGTTATGGGAATTAGAAAAACAAATCCTGAAATGTAGCCATAACAACACACCACTACCTGTCTTAGGTCTTACCACTGAATTCGTAGGTAGTGTGACCATAGCAGAAATCAAAATATAATAATAATAATAATAATAATAATAATAATAATAATAGGAAACTGAAAGTAACTGGTATGAACAACACCACCCAGACCCGGTTACGGAGATAGGACCTGTTGCAATTCTATGGGACTACACAATACACACTGACAGAACAATCAAGGCCAACCGGCCAGATATTGTTATTAAAGACCACAAACAAAAACGGTGCCTCCTTATTGATATGGCAGTCCCTGCTGACTGCAATGTATCTTTGAAGATATTCAAAAAGTTGTCAAAGTACAAGGACCTTGAAATAGAAATCTCGAAAATGTGGCATATGGGAACATCAACAATCCCTGTTGTAGTTGGAGCCCTAGGACTGGTTGGAAAAGATTCCAGTAGACTAATTGAAGGGATTCCTGGAAATCCATGCCTCAAAGAGATACAAAAAATTGTTCTGACAATTACAGCCCACACCTTACGAAGGGCTTTATCTATGTAATTAATTTTTTTTTTTTTTGTCAGTGGAAAGTGTCATGACGCCATTTCTAACCTTAGGTCCCTGGGCGGGACCCGGAAAGAAATGTGTAAACGCCAGAAATCAAAGGAAATAAAATTAATAATAATGTCATGTTCAAGAAGCTTAGCATGACGTAATCTTTTTCAAAGTAAGATTTTGATGGATTTAAAACAGAATTATTTGAGCGAAATAAATGCGTTTATTTATGATTTATTCACTAAAATGCGATAATAAGTAGGACGGTAAACATCAGTTCAAGCCTTGAAAGTAGAATTTATGAGTCAGAAATTACGTCTTACTAGATATAAATATCAAGCCAGTGAAAAATTATCCAAAGTCTTACTTGCTTGAAATCCTTAATGTTATAAAGCAATCTTTCGAAAGACAGCTTATGATGATGCGAAACATTCCCTCGTCCAAACAACCCCACGCCCTTATTGGTTTCTACTGTCGTATTACCAAATATCTTGTTTCCACCACATGTGTTAAAGAGTCTCTGGCACATGAGACAAAAGGTTGTGCACCCGTCCTATAAGGAGTTTCAGGATGCACTAAGATTAACTATTTCCTGACAAACCCAGGTCACTCGGTTCATGTCCTTCTCAAACAAGGGAGGCAACTCGACTAAATGAAATACAAAATAAAATAAATGGCAGAAATAATGTTTTAGTCCTGTTTAACTTGCGAGGTTAAGGAAAGCAGTGTGTGTTCTCGCCTATTCACGTCTGATATATATATATATATATATATATATATATATATATATATATATATATATATATATATATATTGTGTGTGTGTGCGTGTGTTCAACTATGGGGTGTCGAAGACTTATTTTTCTAAGGGTGTATGTTTTTGTAAGACTACATATGTCGTGTAGAAGTGTGAGAATTCGGCAGGAGACAGAGAAATTGTAAAAGAGGGGAGAATGGATAGAGAGGACAAGAGGAGTGGGGGGAGGATATCTCAAACGAGAAAAGTATGGGGGGGGAGAATAGTAGAGAGAAAAAGTGAGCGAGGAGAGAAAAATAAGGGTAGAAAAAGTAGAAAAAATAAAATAAGAGAAGAAAAAAGTGAGGGAAAGAGGAGAAAAGGTGTAATGTAGAAAGAGAGAGAGAAAGAGAGAACGTG